TCCTGGAACTCACTATGTAGACCAGGCTGGACTTGAACTCAGAGATCCACCTGCCTCTGCCTCCCGAATGCTGGGATTAAAGGCCGCACCACCACGAGTCACACTCTTAAAGAAGACTCTCTTCCTCCCAGCCACTGTTGGTTACCAGTAGTTCCTCAGCTAGGTTTGGGATTTCTTACTTACCTTCCCAGTTCTGTACTGGGATTTTTTCTGGCTTGAGCTTGGACGAATCTTGTGTATGCTGTCACCATTGCTGTGAGTTCATATGAGTAACTAACTGCCCAACTCTCTGGGAAACTCTTTGCTTGTGGCCATCTACCACCTCTGGCTCTTAAAAACTCTCTGGAAGGTGCTGTGCACGCTACTGGAAGAGAAAAGTAATCATCAGCCTTGCCGAGCTTTCCTATTGTATGAGAAGATGTAACCTTTAGCTAACATTCATTAAAAGTAATATATTCTACTTAGGGGAAAAAAAAAAAAAAAAAATGCTCCAGGCTAAAGAGAGATCACATATTGGTCTTTCCTTGCTGTATATTAGCTGAAAATATGCTGTTAAATTCACATGCTACCAGATTTTAAAAATATGCCTGATAAGTAACATAAGCTGTCAGCCTTTCTAAAGGTTGTCCTTCAGTTGGTGCAGGGACTGCTGGTTTCCCATCTAATTGAGAGACTCCCTGGGAATTGAGCCTTCTCTCATAGACACCTTGCATTTTGCAATGCAGGATGACTTGTTTGCTGCGGAAATACCTTGAATCCCTTACTGTTCAGCAGTTCCCTTCAGCATAGTCTGTGAAGTGCTACGGGATCATCCTCTGCTTATAACCAATACAGGCTGCTCTTGAGAAAGAATTATGGTTCATGCAGCAGTGACAATTACCAAAGCCTTGAAATGTTTCCCATAGCATGCACTAGCCCGGCATGGAAATCAGATATGACATCTTTATTTTCCAGTATGCGTACCTTCCTGTTCCAGTGTCTCTAAAAATTTGGTCATCAAGACCCCTTTTGTCATAAATTACACATCCATGGGGCTGGAGATGTGGCTTAGTGGTTAAGAGCACTGGCTGCTCTTGCAGAGGACCCGGGTTTGATTCCTAGCACCCACATGGTGGCTAAAAACCATCTGCAACTCCAGTTCCAGGGGCATCTGACACCCTCTTCTGACCTCCGTGGGCATTGCATGACATGGGTACACTTACATGCACACAGGCAGTATACTCGTGCACATAAAATAAAAATAATAAAGTGCTTTTTAAAAAATAAAAAATAAATTACACATCCATATGTGCAGGTCTGGATTCTGTTCTACCTTCTTAATTTCCATAGTTTTATAATGAGTCTTTATGACTGGTCAGAAAAGTCTTCTCAACTTATTGAAGAGTAATTTGGCTGTTCTTGTCCCTTTACACTCTCACATTAATTTTAGAATCAACTTGTCAAGTTTCACTCACAAATTCTATCAGTTGATTTTGTATTACTACAATGAAAAAACAGAGCTAGGCTAACTTTATAAACAAAAAAGGCTTATTGAGCTCACAGATTTGGAAGATCAAGGACAGCCTGGTAAATGACTCCCATGCATCTAACGTCACAGCAGAGACACATGTGTAAGGTGAATCACATAACCAAACAGGAAGCCAAAGACAGTCACAGGGTAGGTTCGGGCTTCCTCTAACACATGGTTTCATAAGGACTCATTCCAAAGAGACCAGCTTTCCCTTCTAAAGGCAGCATGCCAGATGACCCCAACATTCAAACCATAGCACACATGTGCTTATTCTCAATCAACATCTCTCTCTTTTTCCCCTCTCTCTCTCTCCCCCTTCCTCCCTCCCTCTCCATGTCTCCTTTTCCCTCTCCCCCTCTCTTCTACACACACATACTTACTGGAATTATATTTAGAGTTGTGCATACAGATCCTTCCCAGAGGTTAATTCTTACAGTATTGGCATTTTTACAGTCTTATTTTATGCCTCTGTAATTTTTTGGCTTATTTATTTATAATTTTGAGAAGCTCATACATGAGTAC